GGGCAGGCAGAGGAGGGGGACAGGCTGACTGCTGCAAACCACATCCTGCACAGACTCCCGGCTCGTCAGGGGTCGCCGTGATTTCTCCCCTTTTGTGTGTGTGTGTGCGTGCGTCTGTGTGTGTGTGCCGTCTTCAGGCTCTTGAACTTTTCTCCATCCCAAAAAGGGTAGCGGACGACAAGAACACCCTTTGTCGTCTGCTGTTGGGAGACTTCTGCTGCTCGCTGCTCGCTGAGGCACCAGAACATGCCTTCACACACCTCAAACCAGCACTGATCAGTAGCACCCCAGGGTCTGAGCTGGGCAACATGTTCCCCGTTCCGTATGTCGCTGTGCTAGGTACAGCCCATCACCACCCCCGCCGTCACCACGGCCATCGTGAATGTAATAATGCACTCTGGGTAAAGACTCGGGGCTTCAGCAAGCCCTGTGGCGCAGCAGCAGGTCAGGAATTGGCTGGAGGAGCTGCAGGATGAGTCACACAGACACGCACACGCAGGGTCTGGACCTACACTGACTCTCTCCCCCACACACACACACACACGCCCCTGGCTGTCCCCCAGGGCTTGCCCCACCCCCCCACAAGCAGCCATGACACCCTGACTTAACTACGCTCCTCTTCCTCTCCTGACTCCCCCCCACCCCTCTCCTGCTCTCTTCCTCCTTCTTTACCCCTCCCTCCCCCTAGTCTCTCTCTCTCTCTCTGATCCTAACGCCACCAGTCCTCTCTGCGGCCTGACCTCACCACCCCACCCCACCCCCAAATTCAGGGATCCAGGCCTCCTCAGCCCAGCGATCCGCACCAGCGCTGATGTCTGCAGCTCTACCAGGTCTCTCTAAAGCACCGGCACCGGTAGAGCTGGGTCAAGCCGGCCAACCAGTCCAATTAAGCCAATAACGAGCTGATTCAGGTCGTTAAGTCGTTAAGCGCAGAGCTGGAATGAGGACACGCAGGTATTCTGGCACCCTAATTACACACACCAGACAGGGGCGGGTCCAGTCCCCCAGATCTATAAAACCGCCCAGGTGGTTGGACCTCTTATCACAGTAATCAATTCCGCTAAGTATCTGGCAATAAGGAACAGCAAGGGAATTCACTGGATTTGCAGAGCTCCGACGTTAAGAGGTTGGAGTTGCCCATCCCCGCCCCGGACAAAAAGTGTACCGCGTGGAGATCTCAAACTCACCGTGCACTCCTTCTCCAGCGGCTCAGGTTTGATCTGGACAGCTGGCAGGCGCTCGGCTCGGGCGACGCCGCCGGCGCCAGGGCTCTTGCGGCTGGCAGCTAGCTGGGGGAGACACAGAGGGAGGGGGGGGACAGTGAGCGAGGGAGAGAGGGGGGTGGGTCTGCTCATTCAGCGCCGCCCCTCCTGTTCCGTCCCACCTGTGTTGTTTCTGTCCTTTCCCCATGGTGGCCTGTGATCCCCGTGATGGCAGAGCAGGACAGATGGAGCAGGGGCGCGAGAGGGGGCGAGAGAAAGAGACGGGGACAGCAAAGCGACAAGACCGGACAGACGGAGAGAGTGAAGAAGGGAGGAGCGGAGGAACGAGATGAGTGAGCCTGGTGTGGATAACGCCAAGCTCATGGGTTCAATCCCTGTATGGGCCATCACAAACCATACATACATACCATGGGTCACAGATACTGGGCAACACAGGCAGACCTGGCTGTCCTGAGAGGACAGGCTCAGTGACCAAAGCCTGGCCATAGATACTGGGAAACACAGGCAGACCTGGCTGTCCTGAGAGGACAGCCTCAGTGACCACAGCCTGGCCATAGAAACTGGACAAAGGCAGACCTGGCTGATCAGAGAGGAGAGGCTCAGTGACCACAGCCTGGCCATAGA